ACGCAGACAGAAAGAAGAACATGGATTCCCATTCTCGAGTACCTCCTGCAGCAAGAGTTTTGACTAGCACATAAGCAAGATGTTTGGACCGTCGTCTTTCTGCCTTCCTTTTTGCGCAGACAGCCGCGGTCACAGCTAGCTGGGGCTTGTTGGGCAGCGTGGAGGATTCTCATCCCGTCCGGGGTATTGGAGCCGACCACGAAAGACGAGGTCCTGAGGCAGCCACTTTTCGATAACCAGCGGATCCTCAGTAATCAACGTGCTCCATTCTCGGCGACAGCCACCACGGGCAACTTCGGGAAAAAGGTGGATAGAGAAAGGCCTGATTTGCATACAGGACCTGTGGGACGAGGGAAGGCAGGATTGGCTCACAGAGGAGGAAGTTAAACGCAAGTTGGGAAGACTCCAGCTGGTCGCAGAAAGAAGGCTTAGCCTGATCTCAGCAACTCCGCCCCACTGGCAGGATCTGCTGCGCTCAAATGCCCCGGTACAGGGGAAGTGGTACTCCATCGCTGCTGACACCGAAGGGCAGGAGTCGGTCCAGGTGTTGGAGCAGCTGGATAATGACACGCGGAGAGCACAGACTTGGAGGACGGTAGGAGCGGTTGGGCATCCGCAGCGGCTCCAGCCTCAGGCCATAATAGCCTTAAGCTCCACCAGAGGCCTGCAGCAGATCTGTGTCCATGAGAGCAGCAGGAACGGCTCCTCAGCCTGCGACCTCATAGCGGATGGTGTGCCATTGAGGAGACTGAGAGTAGACCCGCAGAACCACTACTGGGACCTGGGGCAAGGGCGCAGAAGCTACCTACACCAATACACCACAAGGCTGGGAAGGCAGCTGCAAGCGAAGGGAGAACCACTGCCAAAGACTGCGGCAGAGCGCCTGAACAGATCAGGCACCCGAGACTACCCAGGCATCACAGAAGCAGAAATGAGAATCCTTTGGGCACAGCTTCCAACTCTACCTCACAAAAGCTAGCAGGGCTGTTATGGCTTCTGTCGCACGCTGCAGTCCCCTGCTCAGTAAGGCTGTTCGAAGGAGGAATGGACATTGAAACCAAATGTCTACGCTGCGGAAGGCGGGAAGAAGAGACACTGCAGCACCTGTTTTGGGGCTGCCCAGCATCCAGACGCATTTGGCGACGGTGGGAGCAACACTGGCAGCGATTTGTTGGCCCACTCCTGAAAATTGGGACGAGACATGGGTACTACATGGCCGCATCCCAGGGACCTGGTTCAAGCATACGGGAAGGGGCTATGTTGCCCAAGCTATCCGCTCTGTCCTCATTTGGGTGATCTGGGAGGACCGCAATAATGTCCTCTTCAAGCACCAATGGACTGCAGATCGTGTGATAACTCAGAAGATCAAGCACTGGATCCGGACAATGATTCGGGTCGACTGGAACAGGAAGGCTGCAGGAGGCAAGTCCCGTGGAGGAAGACATTGGTTTCTTGTTACCTGGGCAAGGGACAACCAGCTAGCGGCAGTTACACATGACGGCAAGATGGTGCTCTCCCCCTGGCTCACGGCTGAGAAGTAGGGCTCTTTCTTCTTCCCTTAAACAAACCAGGGCACTCGGATTCATTGAACCAGGGCACTCGGTTCCCTGGGTGGCCGCAGTAGACCACAGGCTGTTGGGAGGGTAGGAGAGTGTCGTCATGCTTACTCAGGGAGGGCTGTGCTATCAGACCCTCCCCTCGGTCGATTTAGACCGAGGTCAGGCCGCCTGCTAGGCCGGACTCCACACATAAGCGGTCCAAGTAGGTAAGTCTCAGCCTATAGGAAGCAGGGGTACGCAAGGTATCAGCATTACTTAGCTACATCATTGTTTTGATATTTGCAGTATTAAATAATAGTATATGAGGGGGAGCTCATAGTATAGGAAGTAGGAATATAGAACGCTCTTCCCCTTTCCTCCAGTTTGCTCTGATATGATAGTATTCTAAAACCTTCTTCGCCTTCCCTCAATCTTTCTTGTTCTGCCTAAGCTCAAGCTGAAGTCATCCGGTTCCTATTGGTGCCATAAAAAGCGAAACTGGCTAATGCTGCCAGGCTAATGCTGCCAGAGGTTCTCTTTCCGGGTTGAATTGTGGGGACCCCGGCCCCGGCTATTCTCGTTTTGAAATCAAACAAACATTAAAGCTTAAAATAATAATAATAATAATAATAATAATAATAATAATAATAATAATAATAATAATAAAAATGTCAAAATGGTGTCACACTTTACTTTTTCTTTTTTTTCTTTAATCCAATTCAATGATCAATAATAACTGAGGCCGGGGACCTCACAATTCTACCCGGAGTAACCACTGGGGCCTTTACCCAGATTCGACTCAAACTGAAAATTCTGGCCTAGTGCAGCTGATATCTCTTCTGCAGGAAGGCCAGAGGATCAAAGGGATCCTTCCAAGAAGTGCTGGAAAGCGGGTCCAGCGTCCCTTAATGACTAAACCAGAGTGTATGTACCTGGAAAACGGGTCCAGCGTCCCTCAATGTCTAAACCACTGTGTAYATGGCTGGAAACCGGGTCCAGCGTCCCTTAAACCTGGTCTTATAAGAAAGAAAAAGTCTCAGTCAGCTAGGAGCAAAATTAAATAAAATAAAATCCACTCCACACTTAGTACAGTCCAAGTAATAGTGGAAAATTCTCTCTTGTTATTCTGGCAGAAATCAATTCAAGGATATCGGACTAACTCAGAAATTTAGAGGGAGGAAGGGTAGGGGGAGGGGGAGGCAGGGGAAGGGTGAATTTAATGAGATTTAATAAGGGAGTCTTAGGTAGGGAGGRAAAGGAGTTTATGGTTGGAAAAGGAGAAWTATAAAACAGGRTTGGGTAYGGGGAAGCTCTGTATTTACATGCAGTAGGGTTTAACTATTTACAGTATTTACAAGATTGAGGGTTTTAGCATAGGGTCTCAGTCGGGCTCGATTGCCCACGCTCTTCTGGCCTCCAGCAGCCTGGAAAACAGAAGTCGTCCTTTCYGGTTGGGGACAGCCCAACAGTGGTCGTGGGACCATTTCTTCGCGAACAGCTTGGCTTTGTCTTCTAGAGGGAGATTGAGCCTCTTGTGTTTCCTCCAGTCTGCTTCGATGATGTCCTTTATACTTCTTCTCATCAGACGCTGAGCTCTGGCCATTTTTGGTTCTTTACTTTACGTTTTCTAAACTTAAACTTTTGCGGTGGGACTTCACCCCCGGGGTGAAGTCCCACCACCCAAGTTTAGTTTAGAAAACGCAACCGTGTGACACCATTTTGACATTAATAAATTCGAAACAAAAAATTAAAAAACTGAAAAAAAACGCTAGAAACAGCTTTTCTCAAACACGTCTGGCACAGTCGGAGTGGTGAGGGGACAGGAGGTCACCATTCGTAAAATGGACAGGGACAACATGGATGGCCAGATGCGTTCATTGCCCAAAGAAGGAAGAGAGTTGGATGCGAGAGAGCCAAACACAGCTGTCAGAGTTCCTCCGTTTCAGGGTGTAATGATATATGGAAAAAAAAAAAAACGAAAGGCAAATAAGTTGAGAAATGTACCCTACCCTCGGTAGCGTAGTTTTCTCAATGGAAAATGGCTTCCCGCCCAAACCAAAAGGGCCAACGAATACTACAAAACGGATTTCACGCCAAAGAAAAATTCTACAAAATGACCAAATCTAATAGGTTATTCTCCTGTATTTCGGTACCCTTAGATTCTCAATACATCAACGGCAGAGCTCCGTCCCACCATGCCACACGTGATAGAAAGCTCAGCGTTGAGAAAACTCAACTTCGGCGGTGGGACTTCACCCCCGGGGCGAGGTCCCACTAGCAACGGGATAGGATAGAAACGAGTTTGTGGGGCAGTTGAGTGACCCAAATCCTGCCGTGCACTACTGGTGATCCCACCGTCAGTATTTTACATGTATTACCCGAAAAAATAAGGAGATCTTCCTTCCCCTCCTCCTCTCCTTACCACTGGGCATGCCCGTGCAAAGACAGCTTCCCGCCAGAATCTTTTCAATCGGTTGGGGCTGTGGCCAACCCCAAACGAGGTTGGGGYCGGCCWTAGCCCACTGGATAGAAGATTTTCAGCATTTTACTTGCTGTTGTGCAATTATCTCATTGGGTGGAGCCCTCCTTCAATCACGGAGTATATGGAGGGTGTCAGGATCACTGCTGTCAGAAGTCGAGTTTATTCCAGAACATGTGGCGGTTACTTTGTTCACTGTTTTTGCAACCACCACCATCAGATCATTTGTGATCTGATGGCTGGGAAGCACACTGCTGTGATTTCCGGTGGGAGGTCTCTGTTTCTTTTTTTTTTTTTGGCCTTTTTCCTGTTTTCTCAGCCCAGAAATTCGTAATGAACTTGTCACACTGGATCGGGCACACTCCTATCCGACTGCTAATGGGACCTCGCCCCCGGTCGCTGTTGGAGGACCCGCTAACAATGAAAACAAAATTTAAAAAAACAAGAAAACACGCCTATTCATACCAAAAAAAAAAAACACAAAGAAATAGCTGGTTGATTTGTAACGCTGGGGGAGCGGGAGTGCGGGCATGAGGGAGGGATATATATATATATCACAGCCCCTCGTTTGTTGTCCTCTTCTCTCTCTCTGCCTACGGTTTTACCGCGCAGTTCTGTTTGTGACGATATATATATATATATATCGTCACAAACAGAACTGCCCGGTAAACCGTAGGCATATATATATATCTATATATGGAGAGAGAGAGAGAGAGAGAGAGAGGCCTGGGCTGTCCCTTGGAAGATTTTCTCACTCCAAGTTGACATAGCAGCGGCA